TGATGACATTGAAATAGATGGTAAGATGTTTCAATTGAGATATATTTTTATTGAATAATCAGTAAAGTTGAGCAACAGACAAATCAAGGAAAACCTCTACTTGCAGTTACAAATCAAGATTAAATTCCATAGAGTACAACATATACAAAAAATAAAGGACTGAAAACTGGCATACTGTCCACAAAGCAGTTTAAATTGCATAAGGTTTTAAGCTCACCTTCGGCTTTTTCTGATCACATTTTGTCCGTCCTCCATCCATCCATCTGTCTAGCTGTCCGTCTGTAAACTTTTCGCATTTTCAACTTCTTCTCAAGAACCAGTGGACCAATTTAAACAAACTTGGTACAAAGCATCCTTGAGTGAAGGGGAGTTTAAATTGTTAAAATGAAGGGCCAAGTCTCCTTACAAGGGGATATAATCAAGAAAAGACAAAAATAGGGTGGGGTCACTAAAAAATCTTCTTCTCAAAAACCACTGTGCCAGGAAAGATGAAACTTATGGGGAAGCATCCTTGGGTAGTGTAGATATTAAATTGTTATAATCATGACCCCCGGGTGTAGGGCGGGGCCACAAAAGGGAATCCAAGTTTTACATAGAAATATATAGAACAAATCTTTAAAAATCTTCTTCTCAAGAACCACTGGGCCAGGAAAGCTGAAACTTATGTGGAGGCATCCTTGGGTAGTGTAGATATTAAATTGTTAAAATCATTACCCCCAGGGGTAGGGCGGGGCCACAATAGGGAATCCAAGTTTTACATAGAAATATATAGAACAAATCTTTGAAAATCTTCTTCTCAAGAACCACTGGGCCAGGAAAGCTGAAACTTATGTGGAGGCATCCTTGGGTAGTGTAGATATTAAATTGTTAAAATCATCACCCCCAGGGGTAGGGCGGGGCCACAATAGGGAATCCAAGTTTTACATAGAAATATATAGAACAAATCTTTAAAAATCTTCTTCTCAAGAACCACTGGGCCAGGAAAGCTGAAACTTATGTGGAAGCATCCTGGCCGATTCCTGGGGTAGTGAAGATTCTAAAGTTTAAGGATCATAAAAGGGAAGGGGGTAGTGAGCATGATAGGTATAGCAAGAGGGGGAATCTGGTAAAGAAATGTATCACCCAAGCTACTCAAGTGAGCGATGTGGCCCATGGGCCTCTTGTTCAATTACATAACTGTATTTCTTGTAGTTCTACCGGTGACCTTTTGACATTTTATGGCTGTATTTAGGTATTACTGGTACTTATTGGTTTAGAATCATCAAACTTTATTATTTGATGCATCTTGGGTTCTCAGAGAATGATGATCAAAAAATAGGTCACGATGACCTACTTGTGACATTAATGGCTATATTTAAGTATTCTAGGGTACTAATTTGCTTAGAATTGTCAAACTTTGTCAGTTGATGCACCTTGGGTTTTTGGAGAATGTTGACCAATAAGTAGGTCACTGTGACCCACTTTTGAATATCTCAAGTACTCATTAGCCTAGAATCATCAATCTTTGTCAATTAATGCATCTTGTGTCCTCAGAAAATTTCGATCAAAAAATAGGTCACCATGACCTACTTATAGTGTTTTTTGATTGTCACATTTAAATATCTTCAGCTCTAACTGGCTATGGATCATCAAACTTTGTCAGTTGTCGCATCTTAGGTCTTAGGATAGATTGTATAATTTATCAGAAGAGCGATTCAAGGCCCTTGGGCCTCTTGTTGTTAGATAATTTACATAAAATGGATTTTTTTCATATACATGAATAAGCTCCACTCTTCACGTGCTCTTGGTATAAACTACTGATTGATATAGACAAAAAGTGAAACAGTTTCAATATCCTGAAAAATTGGGGGGGAAAAATAATACAGGTATTACAAAATGGCTAAAAAATGTTTCGGTCGGGTGCATTTTCAGTGGGTCGGTAGGCAACTGCAAACAAACAATACGTTATTTTAAGCCTTAGTTCCTCTTGATAAATAATTACGGTAATTGCTTCAGTCGTTGTCTATTAAGGTATTCCAGCAGGATTTTTTTACTTATGTGTCCTTACAAATTCTACAGTGATTGCGATATCAAGAATTACTCAGTTTTGACCCTGCTCTGTGACCTCATTTTTGTAATCTTAAATCATTGATAATTTTGATAAATATCAAGATATAAAGAACAATATTGCTGTTAAAATCGTGTCACATGACCTTTAGTTAGTGTTTTCAAGTCATTCCAAAGTCTAAGAATTAGCACGGGTTTAAAAATACGGTGGTCCGAGGTCCGGGACCTTAAGTTTATGGGGGCGGACTAGCTAATTGTTATCCTTTGATAGTCCGTCGGACTAGCAGTTTGAGAAGAAAAAAAAAATTTAATCCCGTGATTTTTTGGGACCGATTTCGATCCCAGTCCTAATTTAAAATATGCCTGTATTTCCCCTAAATGTAGTGGAATTAATTATCCCAAAGAAAAACTTGCGAAATATGTGATCAAATTCAGTTTGTTTATTGCATGTTTTAAAGTAGAGTTCAAGCAGATTTTGTGGTAACTGTTGTTCATCCATGTTGGATTTTCTTCATTAGTTAATTCACACCACTATTGTTCTTGAATTAATTAGTAATTAGATAATTCATACCAAGAATAGTCTTGATTTCTGATAACAGTTGTTTTAGTAATACAAAGACAAAAAACAAAGCATTTTGACAATGCTGTTTTAATGACTGGATTTTCTAGGAGATTCCTCAATTAATTTAGCAATTTTGAAGCTGAAATTCCCAATTTTAGGGCCCAAGCCCCCAGTCCAAAAGTACTGACAAAAAACTCCACTGAAATCAAATTGATAAAAAATTGATTAAAACTAAGCATGTTTTTAAAACTTTGGACTAGTAATTCAATGATACGGACTAGTGAATACTGAAATTTACTAGCTTAATAGTCCTTGGACCAGTGAATTTTTATGGAAAATTAAAACCCCTGATTAGATGACAGAATTTTAAATACCAATAGTTAAAGATTCAAATTCAGAGAGATGAATTATATATTCTGCAAAGAAGAAGGTATGGTTTCCATACAAATTTTGCCCTGTGATTTTCTAAAAAATAAAGCTGGTGTGAAAGTTGACAACACATGCTTTTTAAATAATTGAAATTCAATGCAGAAAAATCATACAAGTCATTTTTCTCATATGTGTTTTTAAATGCTTATTATGACGTCATAAACATGTACATTTCCCCGTATTTTCTTAAAAAGATGCAGAAGACACCTATTTTCAATGGAATTTTCTTTCAGATAACATTGTCCACAGGCATCGCCCACAAAGATCTTGAGATATGTGATTTGTTATTGAATTTTGCACAAAATGTCAAAAAATTAACGTGGGCGACGGCTGTGGACACTGTTTTCTAAAGGAAAAACCCCCTTGAAATGTGCCATTTTGAGGCTTTTTCTGTTGAAAATAGAGAAATGCTTCACATTAATGACGTCATATTTGCAGAATGGTAAACCTTCATGCCATATTCTTTCCTGATTTATCAGAGTCATTTATTTAACTAATATTTAAACCAGTTTCAAAACTTTTTGATGTCATTACATTTTTAGGGCGCAATAAAGCTAAGACCATACCTTCTCCTTTTTTAACACGAGTGTGCAACCACTCAATACTGTATGATAGTCTTGATAGACTGATCATTATTTTTCTTTCTATGCAGCATTACCAGGTGTGCAAGATGAGGAAGGCCTTGAGGGTGTTGATGGTGATGGTGGCTTTGAAAGTGAGTTGTATAGAGTGTAAATGATGATATTAATTAGCAATTTTAAAGCACAAATCGTAATCTGACCTGTTGAAACCATAGTATTATACACTGGTTGTTTTGAAAATGTGTATAGATTTTTGAAAGATCACAAAATAACATTGACAGATTATATGTACAGAATTCATTATGTATGTACATCATGTACATTAGCTCAGGGCTATTCCAGTAAAATTATCTGGGTGGGGGGTAGTGCCGAGTCATTTTTTTCCCTTTCTGTAGATGGGGTTAATAATAAGCAAGTGTGATAGGGGCACTCCTGATTATTGCTGAATATTACTGATTAGTTTACATGCATTTTTGTTCCCCTACCCTGATTATTGGTATTAAGTAAACAAACTAAACAATTGCTAAATGTAGAGTTATGATAAGCAATGGTACCTTTTTCAAAATTGTGAATGCCAAAGCTTAAAACATGAACCAAAGTCAATCATTTGAAAGTTGAAAGTTGTTGCATGATGCTCAGGTGACCTATGAGGCCCATGGGCCTCTTGTTTCTTGAACTTCCGGTAGATGTAACCAAATTTTAAAGAAATAAAAAGTTTATCTGACCTAGTTTGGTATTTTTTGTCAGACTATGAAGATCACAGTACTCTTAACCTTAATTTCATGTTGATCTACTTGACAGATGATGAACTTAGTTCTGCAGAACCTCAGGGTCTTTTGGTAGCAAATCAGGCAAGCGTGTCCTGTCGTACATCACAGTCCTGTCCAGGTATAGATGGATGATGGAGAAATAAACTTTCAGATATAAATAATAAGAGTTTGATGTCCTTGTTTTCAAATACTGTAGAAGTACTTTTTTCCGCGTGGTATTAATTTACGCTATGTACGCGGTCACAAACTTTCCGCGGAAATTTGTCCAAGCGTACTTAATATAAATGTACGGCATATAATGACAATCTCGAAAAATCTGCATAATTTTCTTCCCACGGATTAAACAGAAATTGAGATTCCGCCAAATTATGACCCCGTGGAAAAAAAGTACGTCTACAGTAATTTAACAACTTTTTGAAAAACAATTTTGTCCCATTTCAAATTCGCCCATTATAGCTTTGTATAAGAAATTATACTGTAATCTTTGAATTCTTCCCGTTTTGAATTTGCCAAAAAGAGAAAAGAGCAAAAGGGAAGAAAATAAAAGGGGGAAAAATATCGCTGAATACATTAGTGAACATTGCTTGCTGAATTTGGTTTCTCTTGACAGATGAAGAAACAGATATTGATGAACTGAAGTCAAATACAGATTCAAATCCTGTTCAAGGTAGCTTTATTGCCTATTACCTTGCTTTTTAAACAAAAATAAATAAGATGTGTATAAGATGTGTATAATATTCATTAACTCTTTTACACAATGACAATTTTCATTGCAATTGCATTAGATATGGTTGATAAAATATAGAAGCACTTTTGGAGGTCCACAATGCATGCTGTCCTTCTTGTCTGTACTTTCACTCAGTTTTCTTCCTACTGATTGCTTTAGACCAAAAGAATATTTTATGCTCTTTTAAGCGAAAGGTTGAATTGAGCTTTTCTGATCAAAAAGTTTCCAGCATCCATCTTTAGTGTAGTGGGTGTTTTCTTAAACTTTTCATATTCATGATGACTTCTCCAGTACCACTAAGCCAAAGTTAACCAAACTTGCCACAAATAAAGCACTTCATTGATCACTACAGCAAAACTCAAATATAATAAACATGGATATAGCAAATTTATGTCGATAAGGAATTTTTTTAGCTCACCTGAGCCGAAGGCTCAAGTGAGCTTTTCTGATCACATTTAGTCCATCCGTCAAGCTGTCCGTCTGTTAACTTTTTTATGATAAGTATAAAAAAGGGGAAATCTGGACATGAACTGCATCACCCAAGTTACTCATGTGAGCATTGTGGCCCATGGGCCTCTTGTTGTTATGGTTTTCAGTAAAATAGAATCAAATTGTAGTAAAAAGAATGGGTGGACTTAACTGGCCAGAAAAAATGCCGTAAATTTAAGTTTCACAAAATGTTAATTTTTTTCCATCATATAAACTCCCGATATATTAACCGTGTATTCATGGTACGGATGTGAATTTTAAACGCTTTTTAGAGGTAAAATAAATAAATGTCGAAGGAATGGTGCCTGAAGATTTCTTGAATATCAATAGATAATCAGGGTCACGCGTTTTTCATCGTCTGAATACATAGTCAGCACATGTTTGTCGGCTGTTCTTAAGAAAACTGTAGTTGTATATTGAGCAAAATAATGTTATATTAAAAGGAGAAGAGCCGACAAAAATGTGCTCACACCTAATTTATCAAAAAAATGTTCGAAAGAAACTTCTAGCTTCCATTGTTATGTCTTCGATTGACCTGTTTAATATTACAATTCATCACGTGATGTCCACCTGCGAGTGTACTCGTGAAAATAGTTACATTGTATTCTTCAACTTGACCTCGATCTAAATTATGTCTTTGAGTGTGTTTTGTTGCCGTTTTCAGAATTTGGCAAAATAAATATTGTTTTAATTTTGCGTGTCATCACATTTTTAAAATAAAGACATCGCTGTAATAGGCTTAACACGTATTCGAATTTATGGAGAGAGAGAGAGAGGGATAGAGAGAGATGTCAACAATGACGCCGATCGATTGCCCCGCCTCCTATTAATATTGATTGTGTGAAATAAAAACCAGTCCAGGTACATGTCAAATTCCGGAAGACGATACTCATGTATCGTTGCTTCAATTTCGATACATGACAACATGGCATTGTTGTTGTACAAATGTTCAACCTAATATAACCAAGTATATGTAGCTCTTTCCATTGCTCATAATATATTTTGGATTCACTTCATTAACAGCTTGGTAGCGGGGTCGCAAAAAGATCCAAAATAGGGCGTTAAGTCCACCCATTCTTTCAAGTATGCAATTATTAAATGATGGGGGAATTGGGAAAGAAGTCCATGCTGTAATTAATATGTTAAAGGATAAACAACTAGTGCTAATTGTAACGGGAACCGTTACAGATGTTCCCCAAACGCTCCCCAACTCCCTTTTTGTGCCATATTCCCTGTAAGCCTTATTAAATAAGACAATATCTGTGCATTTTTTACTTTAACGACGTTTTCCAAGAAGGATACCAATTATATTCAACATTGCACGCGTGCGCATGTGAATGTACGTGCGTAATGATCATATCATCTTGTCTTCACTTTCTATATATTTAAATATATTATACATTAAATCAATTAGTCCAAAAGTATTAGAAATCACTCATTCAAGTATATTTTTAATTTCACTCGTTCCAAATGCACGCACGTGCGTGCACGTGCATGATGACCATACCTTCTTGTAGGAGGCCCGTATATCTATCTATGTTCTAAATCCCATCCTGTTTGGTTGAAAACCAAGGGAGTTATATCCATTTCAAGTTTCAGCCAATCAGATTGCAGCAGATGTGCATCGGCGTGATTTCTTTTTTTTTTTCTCTAAATCATATTGTAGGATATCCTAATGCATGACTTTATTTTAAATTTCAAAGCATTTCGTCAAAAAACTAAGGAGATATAGCCATTTAAAGTTTCAGCCAATCAGATTGCAGCACATGTGCATGTGCGTGATTTCTTGAAAATTTTTTATTATCATCCAACTTCGTTTGGGGAACATAATAATTAGGAATTCCTGCAAACCTGATTGTAAAATAAATGATGCATATCATGGCGTGACAGTCACACTTCTTCGAGTAATTCAACTTTTCTTACAAAATAGGGGCTTTTAATCCTTTAATTTCATTTCTATTTTTCTGTTTTCAGTCAAAGCAAAGCTGCCAGATTTGACAAGGAAGAGAAATAGAACTTCTAAAGCTTATATGAAAGGTAAGGTACTCAACATATTATTATTAATGTTATATGTGCTATTAAAGTTTGTGTTTGTAATCCTGAGATAAGAGTTTGTGAGCATATCATATTTTGTTCTGTCTGACTTTCTTCATCTCTTTTATGTTCATAATACATGTGCCTTTTGAATTAGAATACAAGGAAAGTAATATTTGGCCAGATGGAAGAAAAAGACAATAGCTTTATATTTTATGACCTTGATCATGTTAAACAATGGCACATAATTCCAGCATTTTACATTATTTTATGATCATGCTTTGGGATTTGAAGAAAAACAGAATTGCACATCACCTCTCAATCCTTGCAAAGGATTGTTCCCGTTTTGCACACATTTGAATTTTAGGCATAGAAAAAATGTGTTCAAAATGGGAATTTGACCAGGTGAGATAAAAACTTAATTGGTATAGTCTATACCAAAGTTGGTAGAAAGGGGAAAGGTGAACCTATGTAGGAGAGAATAGGAAAATAAAATTAGAAATTAAACCAACAAAAATTGTTGTGTGCATTACACTCTTAGTCTTCATTTATTTCTTTACTCTTAAACAAAAAAGTTTATTTCAAATAATCAATCATTAATTGTATCAGCCAGAGCTCCAGATAATTTTTTACCCCAAAATGTATATACTCCCTGATTTTCAAATCAATGCAGATTTTGATTTTCAGCAAAATGATTGAAGAGTATTTTGTTTATACTAGTATATAAATGTTTTGACCTTTATTTTGATTTTGAGCTTGTATTCGAAGTATGTGTTTTTGAAGAGGGAAAAAACTTTAAAGGTCGTTTCCTGCATTTATTCAAATGAATTTTGCAAATACCAACAAGACTTTTTGCCAAGATAGGGAAGATTATACAGTAGGTCAACATACCATAGAGTGAGACACAGAAAACTTCGTTCATTTAAGATATCCTATCAAGAGTAAACTGAGAGAAAAGAATCTGGAACGTTGATATGGCAAGTTGAGAGAGATGAAAAATTAGCTATGAACCCATAATAAAAAAGTTATGCCAAGTTGAGAAACAACATACATATAGCATTTCACATTATAGCTTTGATGCAGCAATTTATGACATTATGAATTGATAAGAAATAAGTAAGGAAACAAGTAAAATAATTATATAGTCTTTAATAATACTGTGTTCAGGGACATTTTTATTTAATACATGCATCTCATTTCTCATTTTTCTGAATCTGGTGTATATTATAAACAAATGTATTATTTTGTTCCCTGCAGGCAGATCTTATAAGAACACTGGACAGTCACACTACGAATTTGAATCTGATGATGATGTACATGATCCAGACTTTAAGCCAAGTAAATACCTTTATATTCATTTTTGATTATGAAAAAACACTACTCTATACATTTTTGACAACTGGTAAATTCTAGAGGAGTTTAGGTATTCAATGTAGTAGTTCTGCTGCTTTTCTTATACTGTCAAAGTGAGCTTTTCTGATCAAAATTTGTCCATTGTCTGTCATTGTCGTAGTCGTTCTCGTCCTTGTTCTTGTAAACATTTCACATTTTCATCTTCTTCTCAAGAACCACTGGACCAATTTCAACTAAACTTGCTACATAGTATCCTTATGTTAAGGGGATTCAAGTTTGTTCAAATGAAGGGCCATGCCCTTTTCCAAGGGGAGATAATTATGAATTAGAGAAAAATTAATGGTATTTGAAGATCAACATAGTGTTATGACATTATGTTTGTTAGTATTTGTAGTTAAGATTTATATTTACAACTAAAAAGACTAATCATGTGACATTTCTCAATGTTACAGGTAAAGAAGATCAACAAAGTGATAGTGATGATGAACCAGTACAACGAAAAAAGCAAAAAGGTTATTACATCACAATACTTTAAAACAAGAAAAAAATTCTTTTGGCATAATTTAGCACAATTGCACCTACATGACGTAAAGTACTGTGAATGTGTTTCATTTCAAGTATACAATATTTTGCGGAAATTAACTTTTCAACAACTTAACGTTAATTTGATATTTCACATATTTGAATGTGTTAGATGTACATGTAATTATAGCTTCACAAACTTCTTGTCTTATGTGTGCAAAGTATGTGAAAACCAGATAAAAAAAATTCAGTAATGTTTTACTATTTGATATGATATGTCTTATGGAGAAAGGTTCATTCAGTGTACAGTTAATTCTCGATAAACCGCCACCTTTTGTAATTTAGAAATCATGGCGGTATAACGAATTTCGTGATGAATTGAATTTCCCATCTTTTAGAAAACAAGAAGTAGAGTTATCATTTTAGAAATACTGTTTAATGTTCCTATTTTTATTATTACATGCACATGTATATAAAAACATATTTCTCATTGAAAATACTTCAAATAATTTTTTTAATGTACAATTTCACTAAAACAAAATGCGCAGTTATGAAATAAAGATAAGTACAGGTGTATGCATGTAAATCTGCACGTCTGATATTGAGAAAAAGACACGCCGGGTCGATTGTCGTGATATACTGCCGATAGTACGTAAAATGAATTCTTGAATAAATTCATTGTTTGTGGCATCATTGTTAATGAAACATTCACAATTTATACTGTATAATTATTTTTTCAGCAAACTGCTGATCGATCATCAAAATAATATCGTTATCGGCGTACTTTAACAACGACTGCTTTCGTGGCAAAGCCGTGACTATATGATTTTTATTAAACAGAAAACAAAATTATTATAATAGTTCATGTTAAATAAAAATTATTGTTTATTTAATTCTTGTTTAATTACTTAATTGCATGAACCTTGTCTGCCTTTGCATGCTTTACAACCGGGATTGCGTCAACGAATTAGCCACGCTTTATTTAATTCTTGTTTAATTACTTAATTGCATGAACCTTGTCTGCCTTTGCATGCTTTACAACCGGGATTGCGTCAACCAATTAGCCATGCTTCACTGACCACATGCACCTGTGGCGGTATTATCGAGATAATTGACACTTAAAAATGGATGTATGTTTTGAAAACAGGGTGATGGATGGCGGTATGCGAATTTGGCGTTATAAAGAGAATTTTATATAGCAGGAAAAACATTCTTGGGAAATCATGGCGGTATTGCGAAAATGGCGATGAATCGAATGGCGATAATCGAGAATTGACTGTAATTATGAATTGCAGTAAAACATGTTCAAACCAAAGCCTGTTTTTTCATAAAATTGCTCTCTTTTTATTGATTGTTTAAGTTTTTAATCAGAGAAAAATTTTCCAGGTTCAAAGAAGAAGTGGACCGAAGAAGAAAAACAAGTGTTAAAACCGTTAGTGCTGGAATGTTTGCGCAGTAAAAAACCTCCTGTAAAAGCTGACGTAGACAAATTGAAGTTGAATACTTCTTGTATTGTTTTGAAAGACTTGAAATGGACACAGATAAAACATCAAGTATGGGCCATGGCCCAACAAAAAGTGAGGAAGTGTTCAAAGTTCCTGCAACCTTAGCTTAGCACTTTGCTTCATTAACTTGAAGACTTTTAAGTTTATATTACTTCCCCAAAACAAAAAATTTTGTGGTTTGAAAGAATGCACTTGTCTATTGATGTTTTTTATGCCCCACCATGAATATGGCTGGAGCATATACATGCAGTGTTTGTCATGTCCGTCTTCCGTCCTTCGTCACACTTTGCGTTTAGCTCTGTTCAAAGCTAAGTTTCAAAGAAACTATCCAAGATATTTTCATCGAACTTCATATGCTGATAGATACTGATGAAAGCTATGCAACTACATCAACATTTTGACCTTGACCTTTCCTTTGACCTTAACCACACTTTTCTTAAATTAGTGTTTAGCTCAGTTTTAAACATACCGTTCAAGATGGTGTTATCAAATTTCACATGTTGATACAAACTTGCATGGATGATGCATCTCAGGATGAACATTACCAGACTTGCTTCAGATGCTGGATCTGACCTACATTTTCCAGATGAATGACCAGGTTAAAGTTTTTGGAACAGGTCCATTCCTAAGAAACTATAAGCCCTACCTGGACCAAACTTGCATGGGTAATGCATCTAGGGATGGACACTACCAGACTTGCTTCGGATGCTGGATCTGACCTACATTTTGACTCCCAAGTAACTGTAAACCCTACCTGAACCAAACTTGCATGGATGATGCATCTAGGGATGGACACTACCAGACTTGCTTTGGATGCTGGATCTGACTTATATTTTGATTCCTAAGTAACTATAAGCCCTACCTGAACCAAACTTGCATGGATGATGCATCTAGGGATGGACACTACCGGACTTGCTTCGGATGCTGGATCTGACCTATATTTTGATTCCCAAGTAACTATAAACCCTACCTGAACCAAACTTGCATGGATGATGCATCTAGGGATGGTCACTACCGGACTTGCTTCGGATGCTGAATCTGACCTATATTTTCCAAACAAGCAATTCACCTGCATCACCATTCAAGATATTCTGATCAAATTTTACACACATACAAATTGCGGGGCATTCATGTCCTATGGACATATTTCTAGTTTTTTTTCAGATATACAGACTGATATCTTAAATCTTTCGTTTTCATATACAGTAAGGCAACTATTTTCAGACTATATTGAGACACAAACTTAACTTAAAGAAGATGGGTGGATAAGGCGGGCAGAATGCCTATAGCGTCAGATATAAAGAAATCACATTTATTATAAGAATTGAGTATTTAAATTAACTTCTCATTATTGAAATTTATGAAATGATTAGAGAAATTCCTTCTCTGAGAGAAAAAAATCTCGTAAAAATATTTTCTTCTATAAGAATATTAGATATTATTCATGGGATTCGAACACCAGCAATAAAAATCCAAAGAATGACACTGCTTTGAGATTGAGACTAATGCGCTAACCACTATGCTACATGGATCATGTTGGTTTTAGGCATTTAAATCATGTTTGTGATATGACCCTTGACTTAAAGACGTTCAATCCTGTGCTTTTGATTCGATTTTGGTCTAAACCTTTATTTCTAAAATTCTGCATCGATTTTAAGTTTTAGTACTGTTGATTTTAGATTCCTATTTTTCCGTGCTGGTTGCACACAAAGCTATTTTTTGCAGTGAAATGTGTTATGCGTGTTCTGAAATATCTATTTAAGTTTTTCTTGTGAATTCTTTCGACGAATTATAACAAATATAGTAAATATATTCTGAAAGTCCGGGGAAAAATTGAGCCAATTTTTACAGAAAATTGACAATTTTGTAATATCTAAAAATTTACACCATATACCCCCACTTTTGATGTTCTTTTCTGAATATTTAAGATAACTTTGACCTATCTTCTGAAATTCAGCAAAAGTTTAAGACTTTAAAATAATTTTTTTGTTTATTAAATTTTTAATGCAAGAAAAATCCCATTTTGTGAGTGCAGAAAGGTCAAAAAATTGATTTAAAACTTTTTCTTTGTCAAAATTTTAAAGTGTCATTTTTTTAAATATACTTATAGTTTATTTTGTTCCATGTTTAATTTGGATAAAAATATTAGAGGGAAAACATGAAAAATGTAATTTTTCATAAAGACATAGATTTCAGTGCAAAAAGGTCATACTTAATGTACTGTAGTGCCAAAAGAAGCATATTGACCCACCCACCCCCCCAGATTTTAATTTGATTTTTAATTAAGCTATGTGAGTAGAAACTAAAAATATACTTGACAAAAAAGTTTAAGACTTTAAATATCAGGATCGAACGTCTTTAAGAGACTTGAAGTATTTCAATGAAAGATGCGAACTTTTTGACATAAAAGTGTTTTAAGGTATAGTGGGTCTTCTGTCCATGTTTTTGTAAACCAAAAATTGTATATTCTATTGCAAAATTTTAGGACCATCTTTCAAAAAAACGGAGCGAAGACCCACTCATATTGAAAAATGTTGTTTAAGTATGCGAAATTAATTTTTTTTCTTCTTTTTAGTGTGTGTATGCTTTTTCATAGGCCAATATTTACATCCACTGAATATTTCTCCTTTATTTCTTAAGAAACCCCATTGTGTTCATCACTGCATAAATTGATTATTTAAACAGATATAAATATAAACAATAAAATGTCTTTCTTTGTTTGTTATTACTGGAATGAACGGTCACAGCTATTGCAGAAAAAAATTACATAACCCGCTTACGCGGGTTATGTATTTTTTCTGCAACAGCTGCTTCCGTTCATTCCAGTAACAACAAACAAAGAAAGCATTTTATTGTTTAAATATTTTCAGTCTTTGTGAGATTTTTGTAAATTATAGAGATTTTACATTAAATATATTTTATTATTAGATAAAATATCAAATAAAATTAAGATATAATTAAGA